ACTTTAAATTAATCCCAGAACTCAAGGGATGAGCTCAGTGTTGGATGGGAATGGATAAATAATCTGGATTTATTTGTCTCATATTGGGATTTGAGTCTATTCCACAAAAGAGGAAAGCCATAGAAATCAAAACAATTCAGGACATTAGACAGCTCCTGCAAGATAAGAATAATTGAAATAAAAAGAAAATAAGAGCTTTAGAACTGCAAGTGGAGAGAATGCAACTGCATCACATTGAATAACTTACGAATGAGACTGACTCGTAGGATCCACGTTGAAAGGCAACATTTCAAGCGATATTCTTGTCATAGAGATGACTATACCAAGGAGATGGTCTCCTGGCATGTAATAGTTCCATGGTTTTTTCCCATCCTGGATCTCAAAATTCAATGGGCATTTCATTTTAAGCTTCACAGAGACTCCCTGAGACACCAACACCATCAGAAGCAGAAAGTCCATAGTTTATAGGGCTGAATCAATCTCCTTTCTGTTTCTAAACAAAAGTGACAAGAACGATTAGAAGAATTCAAAACAACCTCACAGGCAAACCAATCATCACCTGGAAAGGAGAGAAGGGCACAGTCTGAAGCACAATATGCGGCTCTCCCAAAACTTGTGCCATACAGTGTGACCTGAGGCATTTATCCTTTTCTGATACAAGATCATTTCACGTTGCTTCAGTCTGATGTTTACATCAATGACAGTCAGTAGAGTAGTAGCAGATGAGGTCTGAAAATCCAGGACGGTGATAATTACACTGAGAAACAAGTTCTCCTCTGGGGATCTTGAAGTTCTTCCAAGACTCCATGTGAAAAGGGTCAGTAGGAGAATAACATTTAAGCGAAAAGTCACAAATATATCTCTGGGGCTGTTGTGGTCCTTCCTGTCAGGACATGTCCAGAAAGTAATGATGGAGGAAAATAGTTCATCACCCAAGGAATTGACTTCGGCTGTCCTTCCTCAGGGTGCTTTGTCTCCAGAGGCTGCTGAGGAAGTTCACCCAAAGTTACAAAGTTCGATGAAACTCTACATTGATGACACAACTCTAGACCTTCCTGTCTTCTAATGCAAGGGAGGCTATATGTATCCTTGAACCCTTCTTAATGTTAAGAGTAGGGTTTTCCTGTGACCATAGGGATGCTGCAACAGTGATAAGTGTGAAAAATGGTCATGTCACTTTTTTTCAGTGCTGTTGTACCTTCAAATGGTCACTAAATGAACTGTTGTAAGTTGAGGACAACCTGCACAGTTGGGCTTATAAGTGATCTGTCCCCGTCTCCACACACACACAAACACAGCCAGCCGAGGGTTAAGAAAGCACTTGGCACACACACAGGTCATTATCTCAAACTTGGCAACAATATAAGCACCGTCTGCCAAGAGCTTTACTTCAACAGATAACATAAAATTACATACGCATTGTAAATAGTCCAGCAAAACAATATCCCTTCGGCAGCTTCAGGCGTTGTTCAAGTGACTAGCCAGAGTTAGTTTTTGTTCGTCACAGAGTTTTACCAGCCACCACCCTCTCTTATATAGTCTCTGGGGTGTGGTCCAGTGACTCAGTTATAATCCCTAGCATGCCTCCTTAACTGCTGCAACCGTTTATCATGCCTTCATTGGCGTGCATCCAGGAACGACTGCTCTCCTTCCTCACTCTCATCAGAGACACCTGGCTCCTGGCTAATCTCCTCTTCCTCGGCCAGCACCTGGGGCAGTGCCAGAGGGGAGGGGCCTGGAGAGGGAGGCCTGGCTGACTCCTCTCCCTCATGTTCGGAGCCTTCTTCCTCCGATGAGATAGGCTCAGAGGGCGGGGCCACAACAATAAGATTCGGCTCTTATATCCTGGCTAAATAAAGTAGAGCTCTAGTTTTCCTGCAGAGATTTTTTTTTTCCCTGGTCTGATATATCTGTTGTAGGAGTGCAGTGCCTCCCATAGTTAGGAGGCTGGGTTGGAGATTAGCAAGCCTCCAACGTTCAAGTCTAGAGTGCTGCTGCATGGCAGGGTGAGCTCCCTTCATTCACTCTAGCTCCTTGTCGAGGACATGAAAGGAGGCCTCACAGGTGTTCCACAGGCAATGGTGATGACACCAGCTAATACTTTTAACTAAGAAGCATCTTAAAAGATGCTTCCAACATGAATGGGGCAGGGGGAATATCTGTTTCGTCAACATCAATTTTGACACATATTTCTCCTTGCAATATTAATGATGTCTTTTGCCTTCTGTCCCAAGAAATACCTAGTCCGGAACTGGTTATTTGCCTGCTCAGAGCCAATGAAACAGGGTCCTTCATATTCTGCAAGGATGCATTATTTGCAATGAAAATACAATGACTGAGGCAGGCAAGCTTAGCAAAAAAAAAGAGGGGGCAGGTAGTGGTCGCATGACCCTACAAGGATGCCACTCATGGAAAACTTTCACAACATTTATTCTATTTATAAATTATTTATTTATTTATAAATAAAACTGCCTGTTAAATATAGCCTCAGATCCTGCCTCTTGTTGTGGTCCGCCAACAGCCTGCAGAGCTGGCAGCCGAGTCTGTGGAGGAATATGGGCCAGTCCTGGAGTCTGGGGAGGAACATGGGCCAGTCCTGGAGTCTGGGGAAGGCCCAGACAAGGCTCTACATTGGAATGCAGAGATGGGGCCAGGGCCATCTGGGAGTGATGCACGGACTCCGGAGCCCCCAGAATCAAACAGCAGAGAGGTAGAGGAACAGGAGGGGCCTGTTCCTAGTGCACACATGCACAGTGCTGCCGGAAGGCAAGAGCAGCTAAAGCAAAAGGGACTACTCAGGAGTAAGGCCAAGAGATGACTAGCCCCTCCCATAAGGCTTAAAATGATTCTTGATGAATGTATCTTTTATTTTACGTACACTGAGAGCATATTCACCAAGACAAATTCCTTGTGTGTCCAATCACATTTGGCCAATAAAAATTCTATTCTATTCTATTCTATTCTATTCTATTCTATTCTATTCTATTCTATTCTATTCTATTCTATTCCATTCCATTCCATTCCATTCCATTCCATTCCATTCCATTCCATTCCATTCCATTCCATACTATTCTATTAAGAGAAACAAAGGACTTGGGCCTTTTTGCAGAAAAGCAACTCTGTTTCCAGTCGACATCTCTCCTTTGTTTCTGAACTTTGTGGGGCTTTGCCAAGCAAGGTCTTTGGCAGGGTGTCAAAGAAGATAAAGGTTGGTGATTATCCTGAAGGACTTCTTCCAAAGGATTTGTTTTGTAACTAATTGGGACCAGTGGTGGCTTGCCCTGGTTCAGACCAGTTCTATAGAACTAGCAGTAAAACTGGCAGGAGGCTTCGCCCACTGACCCCGACATCATCAGGAAATTTCTGCACATGTGCAGAAGCATGCCCACAGCCCCGTTGCGAACCGGTAGTAAATGTAAGTAGAACCCACCCCTGATTGGGACTCAGCTGGGAATGAACGTAATTCTCAGCTGTTACAATAAAATAGGTTTATTTGGGACTAATTGTGTCTTGTAATGACTCAGTAAGCCTACAACACCTCTGAGTTACATTTCTTCAGGTGTTCAGCTTTTCCTTAGAGTGAAAAGAGGCAATAGAGTTCATCAAGGCTGGTGGCAGGAAGAGGGCTAAGATTTAACAACCAGTTCAATAGCCATTCAGAGACTGGATTGCATTGATGTTCTCCTGGGACAGAACCTCCAGTTCTTCTGTCTCCCTGCAACGTCTCCGGACTTTCACAGAAAAGGTATCCTTGGGGTATGAACACGTAAAGGATGTTTCTGCTATGTTTTGGATGAAATAGTAAAACTCCACAGGCAAAAGAGACTTTGCCATTTGGTTTCCCTTAATAAGAAAGGAAAAAATGCTGTGGATGAATTGAAAGGGAAAAGTCAAACCCATAAAATAGATGGTGAGGTCCCAACAAATTGTTGTAATCATCACCTTTCCTATAACAGGTTGCTCAAAGGATTTAAATACTAATCGTAGAATGCTAACACCCCCAGTGATCATATCTTTATCTGCAGTGTAAAGAAAAATGTTCACTTGTCTCCAACTACGATACGGATTCCGATCTATGAACTTCTTACGGTAGGAAGTGGAAAAGGTTTCTGCTATAACTGGACAAATGTCATTCCTGATCAGCATGGAAGTCATTGTCCTCATGAAATTCTGGCCATTGTCAGTGTCTGGTGCCATCAGACCAACCAAGGTCCACCGAAAATGTAAGAGGAGCTTGACCATCCCTGGATACTGGAATCCTTCAGCAGGAAGCATTGGATGGAAGAGAGGAAACCTAATTTTATCTACTCAGCATCTGGGCCGCAAAATTGTAACTGACCTGAAAAGGAATGAAAAGGTGGTAGAACGGAACGAAATGGAATGGAAATGGAATGGAACAGAACAGAACAACAGAGTTGGAAGGGACCTGGAGGTGTTCTAGTACAACACCCTGCTTAGGCATGAAACTCTATACCACTAGATTTTCTAGACATACCCAGTTCCAGCAACCGTTCCTCATATGTTTTAGCCTCCACTCCACTTCTCCAAACTGTTTTAGAGTCACATCGTGGCGACCAAAACTGGATGCAGTATTCCAAGGGTGACCTTCCCAAGTATTTTAAACTTTACACACAAAATTAAATGCATATTCTTCTTGTAATAAAACTCTTCTCTTAATTTACAACTGAGGATCTTTGATTGAATGTTGCATGATGGAAAACTGTCTCCCAAACAAAGACACACCTGTGGGATTTTATAGGTTCTCAACATGTATTGCAGGCTAATTCTGCTGACTGCCAGGAGTCCAATTCTCATCGGCACTCAACCTTCCATCCTCCCAAGGTCAGTAAAATGAGGATCCTGATTGTTGGAGGCAACATGCTTAGAAAGTGCTATAACATACTATGAAGTGGTATATAAGTCAAAATGCTACTGCTATTTGCCAGAATTATTATTTGACAAGTTTGGGGATTACATCACCCCGAATCCACTTTTCAGTGTTATATATTTGACATCAAATGTTCTTTTCTATTGAGATTTGGCCTTAGCAGAATGATGTAGCACTTGGGGATAAAGATGCAGCCCAGCAGGCCAGCACTGGAGGCCAAAATGGAAAAAACCTGCACAGCCACCACATATTTCCCCTTCGTGCTCAAGTAGGTGGGCACAAAAGTAATCCAGACGCTGCAGAAGACCAGCATGCTGAAGGTGATCAGTTTGGCTTCATTGAAGGCCCCAGGGAGGTTCCTGGCCAGAAAAGCCATCAGGAAGCAGATGGTGGCCAGTAGGCCCATGTAGCCCAGGACTCCATAAAACATGGTGACAGAGCCTTCATTGCATTGCAGGATGATCTCTCCAGGCTGGGAGCGCAGGTCGGAATCAGGGAATGGTGGAGAAGTGCCCAAATAGATGCTGCAAATGACAACTTGGAGGCCAGTGCAAGAAAAGACAATGAAATTGGCCAGACTCTTTCCCAGCCATCTCTGCCATTTATTTCCTGGTTTTGTGGCCAAGAAGGCTAACACCACCGTGATTGTTTTGGCCAAGACCGCAGAGACAGCAAGCGAGAAAACAATGCTGAAGGCTGTTTGTCGGAGAAGGCAGGTAGCTCTCGTTGGCTGGCCGATGAACAGGAAGGACGTCAGGAAGGAAAGCAGAAGGGAAACTAGGAGGATGTAGGAGAGATCCCGATTGTTGGCTTTGACAATTGGTGTTTCCTGGAATTTAATTAAGATTCTCAAGATAAAGCTTGTGATTAAAGAAAGGAACAAAGCAAGGGAAGCCAGGATGATTCCTAGATTTTCTTGATAGGATAGGAAGGTTTCAATCTTGGAGACACAATTATTTTTCTGGATGTTTGGATACTGATCTTCTGGACATTTGCTGCATTTTTCTGCATCTGAAAAAGAGGGCTAATAAATTTCCCTATACAGCTTTACTTCAATTAGTTAAATGCAATACTTTTGGTGAAAATGGTGATGGTAGCATGAACAATTTTGTGTATTGGAAGTCAGTATATAGTACAAATGGGGACCCAAAGACCCAAAGAGTTGGGTACTCCCCTTCAGGGTTCAAGTAGTCACAGCAATGTCATGGTTTAATGTTGCTTTAATTTGGATTGGAGTTAGGGAATTTCCTTGGGCAAATATGATGAGAAAAAAAAACCTGCTAGTGTTTTTTGCTTCTTCCTTTCACACCAGTTAGAAGGGGAGGGAGGGAGGGAGGGAGAGAGAGAGAGAGGGAGGGAAACAGATGGGAATGAAAAGGAGGGAGCAAGGGAAGGAGAAGATAAGGGAAGGAAGGAAGGAAGGAAGGAAGAAAAGAAAACAGATGGGAATGAAAAGGAGGAAGGGAGAGAGGGAATGAGGAGATAAGGGGAGGGAGGGAGGGAGGGAGGGAGGAAGGGAGGGAGGGAGGAAGGGAGGAAGGAAGGAAGGAAGGAAGGAAGGAAGGAAGGAAGGAAGGAAGGAAGAAAAGAAAACAGATGGGAATGAAAAGGAGGAAGGGAGAGAGGGAATGAGGAGATAAGGGGAGGGAGGGAGGGAGGGAGGGATGGAGGGAGGGAGGAAGGAAGGAAGGAAGGAAGGAAGGAAGGAAGGAAGGAAGGAAGGAAGGAAAACAGATGGGAATGAAAAGGAGGAAGAGAGAGAGGGAATGAGGAGATAGGGGAAGGGTGGGATGGAGGGAGGAAGGAAGGAAGGAAAGGAGCCATTTTGGAGAGTGGGATAATCTGAATTTTGTGAACATAGCAAGAAAGATGTGAGATATGAGCAGGTTGAGCCTGAGGGTGGGGTCAAATTCATCATCAGTTTGGAGACTCTGTGCCCCTGTAAGAGATCTAAATTCAACCTTCCTTGAAGTCCATTGACTTTTATCTACCGCCAATTAATTTGCTTTGACCCTTAGTAGTTCAGGTATGTGGGTAGCATAAAATAAAACTTGTAGTACTTTTGAACTCTCCCCTAGTTCCAGATTTCTTATACATGACAGAAAAGTTGAACATGGAAATTGTCTTGTGGCTCCTCCTGATATTTGAAGGCATAAACTTTGGCTGCCCATAGAAGTGGTATCCATTGTTAAAAGGAGTAATTAAGGTGATAGAAGGAAGGGTAATATGATACATATCCATAGTAATAAGTGAAATATATTAGTATTAATATTTGTGATTGTAATATGAAATAAAGGAAATATGTTATATATCTATAGAATTAAATTAATTGTATTAAGATTAGTATTGTAAAATTGAATTTTGATACAAATTGTGAAATATAAAAAGAAGGCTAGAAGGGTTAATATGATTTTATGATGTATTTAGAAGGGGTTAAGATATGGAAATTTAAATGAAATTGAAATTGAAAAAGATATTAATAGAAATTAAGAAAAAGAAGATAATTAAGAGATTAAGAGAACGTTTTGATTTGAAAAAAGTGGTGTGAAAAATAAATTTGAAGAAATACATTATTTTTGGTAAAATGGTTAAGTGATTAATAGGGAAATAAGAAATGATAAATTGGTCCATCTTAGAAAACAATTGGCTTAAACTATGAGTAGGGAAAAAACCTACAATTGGCATTAAAAGTCAAATAGGAAATATTAAGCTACAACAACAAAAAAATAGAAATTAAGGATGGAAAAAAACTAGCTCAATTAAAGAAAGATTTCCTTAAAGATTGGCAGTTTGGAAATTCATTTAATTTTGAGATAGCACCGCAGTCTGACAGGGTTTCAATAGAAAAAAGAAAATAAGGGAAAACAAATAGATGATAATTTGTAAATGTGATGATTTTGAGAAATGTAGGTGATAAATGGAGAAATAAGATCATGAAATGAAATAAGACTTAGGGTGGAGGGTAATATTGATGATGTATTAAATACTAAGTAGAGATGGAAAATAAAAAAGTAGAAAACAAAAAGGAATATTATGGCAGAAATTGAAATATATAAATTATATTTGGGAAAAAACTTAAAATATTATACTTATGATATAAGCGGTATAAATTTTGACTTGGTCAATACTCTATTCAGAAAAGATGTACTGTTTGTTTTTAAAAATAAAAAAAATATTTTAAAAAAGGAAAAAAAGAAGTGGTATCCATTGACATGGATAGTTGTAGAACAGGGGTGTCAAACTCGCGTCATTATATCATCACGTGACATAGCAGGACTTTTCCCCCCTTTGCTAAATTGGGGGTGGGCATGGCCAGTGCATGATTCATCCAGTCCACGGGCCGCGAGTTTGAAACCCCTGTTGTAGGGAGACCTGATCAAAGTAATTATACCGTATCTTGGACATTCTGCCTCTTCAGCTAAAAGAGATGCATAAAACATGAAGGGTGTATGTTGAAGATGAAAAGAAAGAGATGCCATCCTTCTCATAATGCTAAGCCCTCCTTGTTCCAGTATCTTTTCAAGTCCTGTCCCCCAGTTTAATTTCCAAAGTCATTTCTTATCGTTCACTATGAAACATATTATACATATTATAAAGAAGTGGATGTTTTAAAAGCCAAGCTTTTGTTGATGTTCTCCGAACTCTGCCCCTTTCTCTTCGTGTCACAGACCTGCCTTGGTGGAGATGGTTCCTTCTGCACAAGGATGACAGTCATAGCAGCAGATGGGCTTCTCCTCTTGAGTTACCTTCACGAATCCAGGAACACAGCTTTCCACACATCGGGAAGGAGGCAAGGGCTGGGCAGAGAGAGGAGGGAAATCCAGAAAATGAATTTCTTTCCAGAAAATAAGCAAAAGGAGAAAGGAATTGGTGATTCCTGCATTGAATATCGCATTCAGTTTTGGTTGCCATGATGTAAAAAAGATGTGGAGACTCTAGAAAGAGTGCAGAGAAGAGCAACAAAGATGATTAGGGGATTGGAGGCTAAAACATATGAAGAACAGTTGCAGGAACTGGGTACATCTAGTTTAATGAAAAGAAGGACTAGGGGAGACATAATAGCAGTGTTCCAATATCTCAGGGGCTCCCACAAAGAAGAGGGAGTCAAGCTATTCTTTAAAGCACCTGAGGGTAGAAGAAGAAGCAATGGGTGGAAACTAATCAAGGAGAGAAGCAACTTAGAACTAAGGAGAAATTTCCTGACAGTTAGAACAATTCATCAGTGGAACAACTTGCCTCCAGAAGTTGTGAATGTTCCAACACTGGAAGTTTTTAAGAAGATGTTAGATAACCATTTGTCTGAAGTGGTGCAGGGTTTCCTGCCTAAGCAGGGGGTTGGACTAGAAGACATCCAAGGTCCCTTCCAACTCTGTAATTATATTATATTTCTAGAGGAAGGTTCAGCTTGGCTTAAATTTGAAGGCAATAAAATCTTGAATCTTATTAAGTTGAACAGGCTACCTGAAGCTTTCCTGTTCTAACTTTTCACACATGATGATTTCTAGATTTGAACATTTTGTCTTAAATACTGAATAGAAGGTTTCTTCTGAGAAAAAGCATAGAAATCATTTCTCCCTGTGGCTCAAAACTTCCTCCCTTTTCACAAGTCTAATATACTCTTTATTGGAATAGTTGAGGGTGCATTTCTCACGGACATCTAACTAATGAATGTCTTGCCTTCCTGGGAGACTTTCCTTCTTAGATGACATTCAGAGGCATTTCTTGCCCCAGGAGTGTCATCTTCTAGGTAAGAACAACAAGAAAAGTGAAATCAAGATTTAACCCCCACCTTCTTCAACCTTTCCATCTCTGCTGTAGCATTCTGGTGGATCATAAACGTGAAATCCAAGGATCCTTGTTTTTCTAGACTCCCAAAGATAACTCTCCTAAAGGATTTGTTAACCATAGCCTCCCACTTCACAATATCCAGGTTTGCTGAGAGGTCTCCTTTCTCCTCCAAAAACATTCCATTTATGGAATTATTGTAATACTGAAAGTTTTGAAGAAAGAAATTGAGCTGGAATAGAAGAAAAACTGGCTATGTTTAAACAGGACATTCTAAATTCAATTCTAACCTTAACCTACTAACTCTTGGAGGTCTTCTATTCCAACCCTCTGCTCAGGCATGAAACCCTATACCATTTCAGACCAATGGTTGTCCAATATCTTCTTAAAAACTTCCAGTGTTGGAGCATTCACAACTTCTGACAACATTCACGACAACATTCAAGTTGTTCCACTGATTAATTGTTCTCACTGTCAGGAAATTTCTTCTTAGCTCTAGGTTGTTTCTCTCCTTGATTAGTTTCCATCCATTGCTTCTTGTCCAGCCTTCAGATGTTTTGGAGAATAGCCTGTTCTTTATGGCAGCCCCTTATATATTGGAACACTGCTATCATGTCACCCGTAGTCCTTCTTTTCATTAAACTACACATACCTAATTGCAGTAAACATTCTTTATTTTTAGCCTCCAATCCCCTAATCATCTTTCTTGCTCTTTTCTGTACTCTTTCTAGAATCTCAATATCTTTCCTGTCCTTCTGTAAGGTCTTGCCTCTCCAACCTTCCCAAGAAAGCAGGACTCTTGAAACTGCAGTTGTTCCAAAAGGAGCTTTTATTGAAAGGTTTGTGATAACAAGAGCTCTAGGCAAGAACTGAAGCTTTTCACTTAAAACCAGCTATTTCAAGCAATGCTAACCAAACCCCTCCCACATTACATCATTGCAGGGAAACAGAAACAGAAACTTCATATTGAGATTAACACAGTAATGCAAGAAACAAATTAAAAAAAGAAGAAACTTCATATAGAGATTAGCACAGAAATGCAGGAAACAGAAACTTCATATACAGATTACTCCATTCCTCCACCCTTCCTCTCACCAAAATGCCAGCATCCCTGTAGAAATATCTGGGACCTGACACCTTCTGTCCTTCTTTCCTCTCATAATGGTGTTAATACATTGCAACAATCAGGAAAGGAGTGAAGGGAATGAAAGAGGGACAGGACTGGAAAGTTGGGATTCATTTTATTTTTCGTATTCAAAATAAATCAATTTTTCAAAAGTAACTGCCCAATTCTTACACTTCTGGAATTGATTCTGAGACATACCTGCCATGGCTTTGGTGTTTCCATGTTTTTACCCCCTTTGATCCTTGTCCTCTTAGAACTGAGTGTAGAAGCTGCATGGATGGCTCGTGCCACAGCCCAGATCGTGTTATAAGTTAAATAGCCACCCAGAGACTGGATCGCATCGATATTCTCCTGGGACAGAGCCTCCAGTTCTCCTGTCTCCCTGCAACGTCTCCAGACTTTCACAGAAAAGGTATCCTTGAGGTATGAACATGTAAAGGATGTTTCTGCTATGTTTTTGATGAAATAGTAAAACTCCACAGGCAAAAGAGACTTTGCCATTTGGTTTCCCTTAATAAGAAAGGAAAAAATGCTGTGGATGAATTGAAAGGGAAAAGTCAAACCCATAAAATAGATGGTGAGGTCCCAACAAATTGTTGTAATCATCACCTTTCCTATAACAGGTTGCTCAAAGGATTTAAATACTAATCGTAGAATGCTAACACCCCCAGTGATCATATCTTTATCTGCAGCGTAAAGAAAAACGTTCACTTGTCTCCAACTGCGATACGGATTCCGATCTATGAACTTCTTACGGTAGGAAGTGGAAAAGGTTTCTGCTATAACTGGACAAATGTCATTCCTGATCAGCATGGAAGTCATTGTCCTCATGAAATTCTGGCCATTGTCAGTGTCTGGTGCCATCAGACCAACCAAGGTCCACCGAAAATGTAAGAGGAGCTTGACTATCCCTGGATATTGGAATCCTTCAGCAGGAAGCATTGGGTGGAAGAAAGGAAACCTAATTTTATCACTCAGCATCTGGGCTGCAAAATTGTAACTGACCTGAAAAGGAATGAAAAGATGGTGGAACAGAATGGAATGGAATGGAAATGGAATGAAAATGGAATGGAATAGAATAACAGAGTTGGAAGGGACTTTGGACATCTTCTAGTTCAACCCCTTGCTTAGGCAGGAAACTCTATACCATTTCAGACAAATGGTTATCTAATCTCTTCTTAAAAAGTTCCAGTGTTGGAGCATTCACAGCTTCTGGAGGCAAGTTATTCCACTGATTGATTGTTCAAACTGTTAGGAAATTTCTCCTTAGTTGTAGGCTGCTTCTCTCCTTGATTAGTTTCCATCCGTTGCTTCTTGCTCTGTCTTCAGGTGCTTTGAAGAATAGTTTGACTCCCTCTTCTTTGTGGCAACCCCTGAGATATTGCAACACTGCTATCATGTCTCCCCTAGTCCTTCTTTTCATTAAACTAGACATGCCCAGTTCCTCCAACCGTTCTTCATATGTTTTAGCATCCAGTCCCCTAATCATCTTTGTTGCTCTTCTCCACACTGTTTTTAGAGTCACATCGTGGTGACCAAAACTGGATGCAGTATTCCAAGTGTGGCCAGACCAAGTATTTTAAACTTTACACGCAAAATTAAATGCATATTCTTCTTGTAATAAAACTCCTCTTAATTTACAACTGAGGATCTCTGATTGAATATTGTGAGAAAACTGTCTCCCAAACAAAGACACACCTGTGGGATTTTATAGGTTCTCAACATGGTTGAAATCTGGATGGAGATGTCAGTATCAGCCCCTTCAAGAACAGCCAGTGCGTTTCTCTGCCTTCCACAGTTGTAGTTGGGAATCTTGGTCTCCCCGTCTGAAAGTAGCCCCAGCAAAGCATCTGCAGTCCTTCCTGCATGGTAATAGTTTTCATAAATGCTGTAGCCCAAGGTGATGTTGGGTAAGACATGGAAATCCTGGTTGATCTTCTGGATGGCAAGAAGGAAGAAGAGGATTTTCCAATCTTCAGTCACTAATTTTCTACAGGTATAAATGTATGTAATCAATTAAAGAAATATTTTATTTAATCATTTATGTATGTATTATATATATATACCCTCCCAATGACAAGATTTCCTCTGAATGGATTACAACATTATAGAAGTTTAACATAAAAGTAAATTCAAAAAACCAAAATACTATGTAAATAATGAATAGAATAGAATAGAATAGAATAGAATAGAATAGAATAGAATAGAATAGAATAGAATAGAATAGAATAGAATAGAATAGACTAACAGAGTTGGAAGGGATCTTGGAGGTCTTCTACTCCAACCCACTGTTTAGGCAGGAAACCCTATACCATTTCAGACAAATCTAATCTTTTCTTTAAAAGTTCCAGTGTTGGAGCATTCACCACTACTGGAGGCAAGTTGTTCCACTGATTAATTGTTCTAACTGCCAGGAAATTTTCTCAGTTTTAAGTTGCTTCTCTCCTTGACTAGTTTCCATCCATTGCTTCTTGTTCTACTCTCAGGTGCTTTGGAGAATAGCTTGACTCCCTCTTCTTTGTGGCAGCCCCAGAGAAATCAGAACACTGCTATCATGTCACTCCTTATCCTTCTTTTCCAGACATACCCAGACATACCCAATTCCAGCAACTGTTCCATATAATGTACATTGGGTGGGAATTATCCCTATAAATCTCAATTATTTGAAAGGACTGTTTTGCTTATGCTGGATATTCAGTGCTGCATACACTTTTGAGGTTGCTACCATGCTTGCACTTCTACTGAAATGTTGGACTGACTTTAGACATTCTTCCTGTTTCTCTTCTCATTAATAGAAATAGCAATAGCACTTAGACTTATATACCAGTATATAGACTTATATGCTTTACAGTCCTCTCTAAATGGTTCATAGAGTCAGCCTCTTGCCCCCAACAAGCTGGGTCTTCATTTTACCAACTTCAGAAGGGTGGAAGGCTGAGTCAACCTTGGGCCGGTGAGACTCAAACTGCCAAAATGCTGGTAGCCGGCAGTCAGCAGAAGTAGCCTACAGTACTGCATTCTAAGCACTGGGCCACCATGGCTCATAACCTTCTCAAATACTTCACAGTAGTTCAACCTAATCTCCCAATTTAATAGAGATTCATTAATGGCAAAGTTGGAAAGGACCATTGGCACGCTATCAACAAAACTAACAAGTTACCAAATTCTGGAAATGTTTAAAGTCCCTTATCAAACATTTCTTGAGAGGAGATTTAACTGACCTCATTTACAAAGTAAGAAAGAAAATTTAGGGTCATCCCTACTTGATGTCCGTATTTGAGAATCAGCAGCGGGGTACAAAATGGATACCCAACTTTGGAAGGGGACAGAAGTAGAGAAAATGTAGCTGATCAAGGGGACAATGCCTGGAAGGAGAAGACGGCCAGAACCTTACAAATTACCAATAAAGAAGAATATTTGTAGCTCGGGGTTGAAATGAGGAGTCTTTAGTGCCCTCTGAGCTTGGCTGTTTTCTTGCAGATGTTTCATTACCCAAACTAGGACTAGTAGATAGTACTAGTGCTAGTACTATCACTGATGATGTTGTCTAGTTTGGGTAATGAAATATCTGTAGGAAAACAACCAAGGACCCCTCACCTTAGAAATTATTCAGAAAAGAAGTAGCTGTAATTCAGGGCACAAAAATGAACCTACATGTGTGCTTGGGATGAAGGAGTTGTGATGAAGCTTAGTGGTCGAAGAAAAACCTTAACTGCAGAGACTATGGCACCAATGAGAACTTCTCCTGGCCTGTAATGGTTCTCTGACTCCAACTTTGCCTTCTTTGGACTCAGGAGGTTTTTGGGATCAAGCCTCCCATGGACTTCCTGGGGCCTCTGAAGCAGGATGAGAAGTAACATGACTAGTAGTGCTGATGGAGCCTCCAGTTCTGTGTTTATTTTGAACAAAGAAGAATAAGAAGAGGTGGAAGAAAGCAAAGCCCTGTTCCAAGACAGAAGCTTCAGGGACTTTCCTCATCCAGAGCCCAGCTGAATCTTGAAAGCTGAAAGGCAGTTTAAACAAAGCTTCTGTCTGCCCTAAAAGCCTTCCCAGGTTCTCTCTGTCTCCAGACTCATTTACTCAAGACTTTCCAGTGCCGTGACATCATCCCACAAACCCTAATGGGATATTGAGGAGAAAGCCTGTTATTGATGTCTTTGCGGCAAAAGTTCTGAAAGTCTGCAGAAATATCTCTAGGGACTAGTGGCAAGACAACAAGCAAATCATTATGATTTGAATAATGGCAAGGAGGGGAGACATCACTTCTCTGCATTCTGAATGAGCCAACAGGCAGATGCTCTCTAGGGAAAGTTGCAGACAGGGTTCAAACTTTTAAGAGGAGCCAATAAATAAATCTTCTGGCCAAAGTTATCTCAGAAAATATTACTGCTTCTATCCATTTGGTCCTCTTTCTCCGAATTGTGTTGTGGGTTTACTGCAAGGTCTCTATAGTTCAATATGTTGTTATCATTATAACAGAATAAGAGAGTTGAGATCTTGGAAGTATTCAGGTCCAACCTCCCACTTGGGCAGGAAATCCTATACCTGTGATGGTGAACCTATGGAACGCATGCCAGAGGTGGCACGCAGAACCCTCTCTGTGGGCACACCTGCTGTGCCAGCTGCTCTTCTGGTTTTCGGCACACATATGTGCAACTGCCAGCTGGTCTTCACTGGTGCTGGAGCACCAGAAAATGGCCTAAAATTGGCCTGAAAAATGGCCAAAAAACAGACAATTTTTCAGGCCTTTTTTATATATTTTTTAATTTTTTTAAAATTTGATTTATATGCCACCCTTCTCCGGAGACTCAGGGCGGCTTACAGTGTGTTAAGCAATAGCCTTCATACTTTTGCATATTTATACAAAGTCAGCTTATTGCCCCCACAATCTGGGTCCTCAATTTACCTACCTTAGAAAGGATGGAAGGCTGAGTCAACCTTGAGCCTGGGGAGATTTGAACTTGCAGTAATTGCAGGCAGCTGATGTTAATAACAGGCTATTAGTCTGCTGCGCCACCAGGCTCTTTTGGGGCCTTTTGGGGTCTTTTTCGGGCCTTTTTGGCCAAAACGGCCCAAAAAAAAAAAAAAACCCAGCCAAAAAACAGGCAGGAAAAACAGGAAAACCAGCTGGTTAGCACGCATGCATGTGCCGGAAACCCGAAGACCAGCTGGCCAGTGCAAGCATGCACATCGGACAGCTAGTTTTCCAGTTTCTGGCACTCCAACATGCGTACATACAGACGCATGCACATGTGTTCTGGTTTGGGCACTTGGTGCCCAAAAGTTTCACCATCACTGCCCTATACCATTTCAGACAAATGGCTGTCCAACCTCTTCTTAAAAATCTCCAATATTGGAGCACCCACAATTTCTGGAGACAAGGTTCGAATCTCGCCAAGGCTCAAGGTTGACTCAGCCTTCCATCCTTTCAAAGGTAGGTAAATTGAGGACCCAGATTGTGGGGGCAATAAGCTGACTTTGTATAAATATACAAAAGGATGAAGGCTATTGCTTAACGCATTGTAAGCCGCCCTGAGTCTCCGAAGAAGGGCGGCATTTAAATCAAATTAAAAAGAAAAAAAAAAGTCAGTCCATTGATTAATTGTTCTGTCAGGAAATTATTAGTTATCATTTATATGTTCCTCATCTCACCAATAAGTTGATTCTGGGTGACTGAAAAACAGTAAAAAAATAACTATAAAAACATTTTTAAAAAAAAAGCTATTTAAAAATGAAAACTAAGGAGACACTGTCAACCCTGAAGCTGTTTTCTTTTCTGTAGTTTTTTTTTTTTCCTTCTATCAGAATTTCTTTTCACGTGGCTTCAGGCTTGACACAGTTTGGAGCTGAAGGGGGGTAGAGATAGATGAGGTTTTGTAGCTAAAACAAGATAATTCTCTCATGAGTCAAGGACATTCCAACTGCTGGCTGTCCAGAGGAGGAAGAGAGTAGCAACCAGGCAACCAGACAGCACCCAGATTGGACAATGTGACTTGTTTGGGAATAAGGGAAGCTTTCACTTTTTAATGAGGTGAAAAGGATGGGTATCCTCAGAGTTGGCTTTCCACCAGTTTGTGCCAAGATGATATATCCTAATAAAACTGTTCTTCGAGGAACCAACTTGCCTCAGAGTTCTCTTTGCGATGGGTGTATTACTTGGATCATTGACAGACAGACAGAATGCGGAGATCTTTTTACACTGTCAACTACCTCCAGTGGTGATGACCCCTTAGGGACCCCAAGCCTTGTGGTCTTGGATCCAGTCCTCTGAGGCTCCATTTCAGCTTGCAATGGGCTGGGGGAGTCTCTGGAAGGCCAAACAGGGCTTCTGAGGGATTGATTCACCCCTCGGAAGCTCTATTTCGGCTGGCAAGATGTCGGGCGAGGCCTCTGGATGGCCAAATGGGGTTTCTGAGGGACAGAGTTGCCCCTCAGAAGCTCCATTTAGGCCGGCAAGGTACAGGGCAAGGCCTCTGGATGGCCAAATGGGGCTTCTGAGGGGTGGATCTGCCCCTCAGAAGCTCCGTTTCAGCCAGCAATGTGCAGTGGTGCTGCAAGTTTTGGGCCTCGTTCGGAAACGTTAGGGGGAGCTGATCACGTAACTTTGAATGTTCACTAAGGGAATGCTTGTAACCTAGGGATTACCTGTACCATCAACAACATTCTTTATGTGAGCTTTGAAAATGTTATTGAAATAAGTCACACAAGGCTTTTGGATTATGCATGAGAATGGACACTGTTGTCAGGGTTCCAAGTAATAATCCCGTAGCAAGGAAAACTCTGAGGCAGATGAATTCCTCAAAGAATAGCTTTATTGGATGTAGCATATTGACACAAATCTGGTGAAAACCAACTCTGAAGGTTTCCACGGTTTTAACCTTATGAAAAGATAAAGTTTTCCCAGAACTCCAAACAATCAGTCACATAGTCCATTCAAGATGCTTTCTGGTTGTCTGGTGACCTCACTCCTCCTTCCACAGTCCAGGTGTAACAATGTCCTTGGTTCTCAAGAGAAAGTATTTTATTTTGGCTACACAACCCCCGCTATCTCTAATCCCCCCTCCCTTTTTTCAGCTGGAGGAAAATAATTCAATATCCAGGGAATTGACTTCTGCTGTCCTTCATCATGGTATCTTCTCTCCAGAGACCGCCGATGAAGGTTACCCAGAGGTATGAAGTTTGATTAAACTCTACGTTAATGACACAACTCTAGTCCTTCCTGTCTTCTTGTGCTTTTCTTTTCTCATTAATCCTAAATTGGAGCTGATTTTGAAATTCTTTGTGCCTGAAGTGAAATTTCATTTTTCATCTGTTCTAGAAATATCAATTTTTGGACAAAAGACAACCAAGAGTCCAGGAATTGATAGCCTACCGCAGAGAATTTGGACGCATGGTCAAGAACTGCCCTTCTAAGACTCCCAACATTTACACTGGTCTACTAATTTAGACATTTTGTCAAAGAATGAAATATGATTGGATTGGCATGATCTGTTTTTAACAAACCCATGCTGGCTACTAGTTATAACTTTATTTGTTTCTAGATGTTTGTTCACAGATCTATTTTTTGATATATTTTTCCAGTATCTTCCCAGGTATTCATGTTAGGCTGACAGGTCTGTGGTTTCCAAAGTCTGTCCCCCCCCCTTTTATTTTTTTCCAAGATGGGAACTTCATCAGCTCTTTTCCAATTCTCTGGTAGTTCCCTGGTGCTCCAGGATTTTTGAAAAATATGATACAATGTTTGTGACATAGCATCTGCCAACTCCTTTAGAACTCTGAGATGTAAACCATCAGGTCCCAGTGATTTACATTCGTCAACATCAGATAGATGTTATCTGCACAATTTCTTGCTTATTTTAATTTTTATTTCTAGCCTGTCTTTTACAGTTAGCTTTTCATAGGTTGGGCTACAGTTTCTTTTTGTGTGAAGACTGATGCAAAGAATAGGTTAAGCAACTCTGATTTCTCTTTACAGCCTGTTCCTTCCTTGCCATCATCTCTCTTTAGTGGATTTACTATTTCCTGACTTTTTTTCTTGTTATTTATACGTTGAAAAAAAACCTTTTTAAAATTATCTTTGACTTTTGTTGTAAGTCTTTGTTCATTCTGAACCTTTGCTTTTCTGACTTCATTTTTGCAGATTCTGGCTACCTGTTGATATTCTGCCTTAGTTATGTGTCCCTCTTTCCATTTTTGTACTTATCCTTTTTGTCTTTCAGTTTATCAGAGAGATCTTTATACAACCATGCTGGTTTCTTCTTGGAATTCTTGTTTATCTTTTTCAGTAGTTTTGTGTTAGACTGGGCTTTTATAATCATATTTTTCTCTGTTTCCCATGCTTCTTACATTCCCCCCCACCATTTAGGATTTTTGTCCATGAAATTTTGCTCAGGGTCCCTCTGAGTTTGTTAAAATCAGCTCTTTTAAAGTTTAAGATGCTGGTTGGATTATATTGTATTGCTTGTGTTTGCATTATATTGAATTCTAGAATGACTAAACGAAGAATGAATGCATGATGCTCCTATAGAGAATCCACCTACTACTGGAAATCTCTCTAATTTCTTTAGCCAATCAGAGATCATCCAGGAGCTCTAACTTTGCCCAATGCCCACCTGGGTTGCAATCTTAATGACAATCTCAATGATGTTCAAGCAATTTTCACTTTTATTATACAGGAAGGGTAAACAACAGGACCACAGAAAAATGACGTGGACTTTCCCAGAGAAGGGGATTGAAGGAATCTTGTTTCTGAAAAACACAACTAAAATAATGGAATTTAAAGACTGCCCAAAGCCCCCCTCCCCATTTATTTTTGTGGCATATCTACAAGATTCCATTGCAGCAAGTGTCATGTTTCAAA